TCAAATCTCGTACTCGTATTCTTTCTCGTCCTAGAATCTAAAAGTCTCTCATAGCAGTTAAGTGCAAGAACGACTATGTAGTTGTGTTTGAAAGATAAGTAGTTGCTGCAATTTTGTTTACGTGAAGTCAAATTAAAGATAGTTATTTTTCATAATTAGGATTACTTTAAAAAGAGGATAGAGGATATTGTGACCGTTTCAGTTATTAAGTTTTGCTGAGTAATAGTCAATAGTTTTAGGTAGTTCATATAAGAGAGGTCGTGGTGCACTTGTTAAGGTCGAAGTCGCCGGCTTAACATATACTGTCACAGCTTTTCCAATTAGCGAGAACCAGCCTGACATAAATAAGCACACATTAGTACCAATTAGTTCCACTCGAATTGAAGTTGTCTGTAGTTATCTAAGCGCAATAGGTCACTTCCACATTTCATATAGTGCACCATATTTGCCCCCCCAAATTTTGCATAACCTTTGTTTCTCATTTCTCCTGGGTATTACAGCCGTCCCAAGAGAAATTGAAAACAATACTTATGCAAAATTTTGGGGGGGCAAATATGGTGCACTATTGGAAATGTGGAAGTGACGTATTGGCCATTTTCATCGAGACCACAATGCACCTTGTTCTTTCCCCCCCTCTCCCTCCCCCCCCCTTAAAAAAAAGGTTGCATAACCATTGTTTCCAATTTCTCATGGGTATCATAGCCGTCCCAAGAGAAATTGAAGACAATTGTTATGCAAAATTTTTTTTGCGGGGGGGGAGGTATAAAAAGCGACTTCTGGTCTACGTGAAAATTATGAATATTTGATTTTTATGTAAATGCGTCCTTTTCCTAGTTACATTAACTAACGTTATGGTGTTTCCTTTCCGCCGCGAGCATTATTAAGTAATTTTTTTCGTAATCTTAAGTATTTTAATTGATACATTAATAAAGAGCGTAAAATGGCCAAGAGTATTGTTATTTTTTAAATTTTTTTCGCTTACTGTAAATAAATATTATAAAGACTAGAAAAATAAGGAGATATAAGGCGAACATGAAATAAATGCACGAGTTAAAAGTTGGTTCCTTGTAATTCCTCTTTAAAATCTTGACTGTTGGAAAGTTCGATTTTTTGGACTTTTTTAAAACTTCACATTTCTGGTCTAAAAACCATTCTTTTATATCCAGAATGTCAAAGAGGAACAAACGAACAACTACTGAAAACGTCAGGTGCTGATGTTTTATCCTCTAGCAAAAATACTCAAAAAACCTCAAGAGGAGGAGGGGCAACCATCAGCCCCCTTGTACGTCCGAGGGTTAACTTGACAATGTTTGTTTTTGAGCAAACAAGTCAAGGAAAAGTGTTCGATGAAATTCTTTATAGAAAAGAAAGCCACTCTAAACTAGAGAATATCGATTTATAACTGGTCGATGTTTGATTGGTAAAATAGGTCAAGGAAAATTTAACTACCATACCCATCGCGGATGGTACCGGCATATCACNGAGTATTGTTATTTTTTAAATTTTTTTCGCTTACTGTAAATAAATATTATAAAGACTAGAAAAATAAGGAGATATAAGGCGAACATGAAATAAATGCACGAGTTAAAAGTTGGTTCCTTGTAATTCCTCTTTAAAATCTTGACTGTTGGAAAGTTCGATTTTTTGGACTTTTTTAAAACTTCACATTTCTGGTCTAAAAACCATTCTTTTATATCCAGAATGTCAAAGAGGAACAAACGAACAACTACTGAAAACGTCAGGTGCTGATGTTTTATCCTCTAGCAAAAATACTCAAAAAACCTCAAGAGGAGGAGGGGCAACCATCAGCCCCCTTGTACGTCCGAGGGTTAACTTGACAATGTTTGTTTTTGAGCAAACAAGTCAAGGAAAAGTGTTCGATGAAATTCTTTATAGAAAAGAAAGCCACTCTAAACTAGAGAATATCGATTTATAACTGGTCGATGTTTGATTGGTAAAATAGGTCAAGGAAAATTTAACTACCATACCCATCGCGGATGGTACCGGCATATCACCCCACCGCTCCAGCTTGTTACTATCCATTTGCTTTTGCAAGGTCATCTAGGTGAGGGATCAACCAGCACTAAAGAACAGCGCACAAGACGAAATAGAGAAGTGCTCAGTAATGATGGCCATTGCCATCGCTGTTATGTTTTTCATTTGCTGCATACCTGGCGACGATACCCAGAGACGAACCAGTCGTCCGACGGATAATTCGTCCAAACGGATTATCCTTTTCTCAGCAGTGGGCTAGATGAAGGAAATGCTGTGTCCTGATATGCTACCTGAGCACGGAATTGCTCGCTTTATCGCGGAAGAACAAAATGGGAGCAACATGTGGCTGCCACTCTGAGAAAAGACATTAGTATAAAGTAACATAATTACATAATGTATTAACCTGACTTGTTTGGTCAAGATCTTCATCATGGTCTCGCTCATTTTTGCGGTTTTATTGAAAAAATCATTGGGACTATAAAATCACAGAAAACAAAGAACTTGGCAAGCAACCAGCCATATTGACGACACATCTAATCAAGTAAATGTCAATAAGGGTATGCAAAGCTGATGGTTTTCAAAATCATGTCAGCTTAAAGACGACCTCTATATTTTGCGAAGAACTGTTTAAAAACAGCTTTTTTTGGAAGCATGTTACTAAGCTTTACTTCAAGTATGCAAACGCGGACGTATAATTGGTCGTAAGGTTAGAGCCCTTATACTCACCCGTAGAGAAACGTTCAGCATCAGCACAACAGCAAGTGTATCAAGTTCCCAAAGCATCCCCAGTCTGATAAATCCGGTAGCAGAAAAACTTGGGAAAACAGTTGATTACAGTCTGATCGCTGTTCTTGCTTTGGCGGGAAATTCTCTCATCGGAATCATTGCCTGCAAAACTCCAACTTTAACAAAACAAATTAACCCATTGATCGTGAACATGGCCATGTCAGACTTGCTTTATCCAATAGTCCTCACTGTTTCCTGTTCGACTGGCGGAATTGCACGTTGGCTCGTGCCTTATTGGTGGTGCCCTTGGTCAGGCCTTGGGCAAGCTACACGTTTTCCTCGCAGATGTCTCATCGTTAGTCTCGATTCAGAGCCTGATTCTGATAACAGCGGATCGATTCGGAGCTGCTGTAGTTCCACTCCGTTCCTCCGTCATCAGTCTCAAGCGTTGTAAGTTGTCCATTTCTGTCACGTGGATAGGCTATGGCGATGGAATGGCCATATCTGTTTGCTTTCAGTCTTGTTGAAAACCCTGCAATGAAGGAATGATGTGCCAGAGTCGGTGGAAGGAGGCCTTTGGGGTGGAAAGCTCATATGCTATTTTCCTCCTATCAGAGGCTATGGTGTTTGTTTACATCCCTGCCGTTCTTTTGTTTGCACTTTACGCCATCATCCTGATCAAGCTTAAAAAGCAATCCCATCCAGGTGAAGAGTCAGCCAACGCTGAGGAACAACGGATAAGAAGAAACAGAAAAGTGCTTAAGATGGCCATAGCTATCGTTTTGACGTTTTTATTTGCTGGATGCCATTTTTCAGTAACCAGTTAATATGTTATTTCGCATTGGACAGTGCCGTTTGGTAGTCGTGCAGTTTTAATCTATACAAAACTGTCACCTCCTTCATGGCTTAGGCAAACTGTGCTATCAACCCGATTATCTGCCTCATTTTTAGCAGTAACTATCGCTATGGTCTTAAGAGATTTTTTACTTGTTGCCGTACAAGGTTGAAGTTTGCAAACTGATAGTTCTATAAAGCTATTCGTCAACGAAAACCGAACATCCAGAACTTCACCTGCAAAATATAACAAGTTTATATTTGGGGACAAGAAGAGATTTAGACGCTCCTTTAAAGAATCGTCTGAATTCGTCTGAATTTTTTCAGTGCTCCTTACCCTCGAAACGGTACAGCTGTACCAACGATGTCTGTGTCAACCTCATAACGAATTAAATTAGCATATGGTGAAGTTATATTCGACAAGCATTTTAGAGATATTGGCCCTTTAGGGCCGCCACCTGTTGCCTTGTGACGCATGAGAATATCATTAACAGAAGTAAACAACAATAGAGGTCCAAAATGGAACCTTGTACGACACCACAAATGACACATTTGGTAGACGAACAATGCCCATTGTATTAATGGTTAGATAGATAGATAGATAGATAGATAGATAGATAGATAGATAGATAGATAGATAGATAGATAGATAGATAGATAGATAGATAGATAGATAGATAGATAGATAGTTTAGATAGATACTTTATTATAAACACCATTGCAGCCATAGGCTGAATTACTGGATATTTACAAATACTGATGATAACAAAGAGAAAATAAGAAAAATTATCTACATCTTATAGACATGGCTAAAAATAAAACTTTTCTTCAAACGCTCGGTTTTACATAGGGGGAGAGTGAAATCACTTTTGCGTCTCAGAGCATATTTAAAACTCTTCCTTTGGGGGAGGAGGCTATGGAGACTGTGGGTGGGGTTACAGACGATCTCGTCAAACAGATCGATTGAAATCTTTTCCCTCCGCTCATGAAGTTTCGGTAGGCCAGCTGTTTCTAGTGCTACACTATATGACAGGTCAGGATAGATAATTCTGAAAGCCCTTCTTTGGATCCGTTCCAAATCTTCACTGACGTAGTTTGGTAGAGAACGATGGAATACAGGGCTTGCGTATTCCAGGACGGGCCTAATACATGTCACATAGAATTGCACCAGTTCACTTGGTGCCACTCCGGATCTCTTGAGTTGACGTAAAAAATAGAGACGAGAGGAACATTCATCATTTCACATTTCACATTTCATCTCAAATATACTGAAATTATCAAATATACTGAAATTCTTGTCGAATATAACTTCACCTTAGCAAAGTCAACGTGTTATGGCATCCTTCTTTCCTAGGAAGAAAGATGATCTGTAATGTTGTATTGCATCACATGACTTGTTTTGGCCATGCATGTTGCTTTCGTAATACACAGAATACACAGAAGAAATGAGAAAGAAAGAAGAAGAAATGAAGACGTGGATGCGTAAGCCGAAGAAGGCCTTAGATATTTACCGCCTTGCAATTTCCACCATTTTTATTTTCATCCCGGTCCTGCTGGTTGCACTTTACTCCATCATCCTAATCAAACTTAAAAAGCAAGCCCATCCAGGTGAACAGTCAGCCAACGCCGAGGAACAGAGGACAAGAAGAAACAGAAACGTGCTTAAGATGGCCATCGCTATTGTGTTGGCTTTTTTTCACTGGACCCCCTACGTCATTAACGAGTTGATATCTCTTTGTTTGCTTACGGTTATTACATATTCCTGTAATTCATATAGATACGCTTATCTCAACTCTATTCTTATCTCCGCATTTTGTGTGATCAACCAAATCACTCACTTCTTTTTTAGCAGCAATCACCGCAGAGCTCTTAAGGGATTTCTGACTTAGTCTAGAACTGGGCAAGTTTAACTGTGAACATTAGACGTATAACTGCGAGTGGACCGTTTTTTTATTGCAATAAAAGCCTAAAAGCGAAGCGGCTGTCTGTATACAAAGGTCCCGTCCACACAAATCCGGATACTTTCGAAACCGCGTACTTTTTTTTTCTGCAAAACAGCCTTCCGTCCACACGAAACCAGTGAACCGCATATTTTGAAACTGCTTTCCGGAGTGGATTTTTTTTTTGGATCCGACGGATTTGGTTATTTCGTGTGGACGACTGACAATGGGTATTTTGATGTCAATTACGTCATAAATGCGAGTTCAGTCTCAAATGAAAACTCTCGAATTCAAAATGGTGGACATTACATCGACTCTACAATGTTCTGTTTGCAACTTTGCTTGCTCTTATCGCCATTCTTATCGCATGCGTTCCGCTAATTTGACGACAACAATTAGCCATTTCAAAAGATTGAAGACTCAATCTCATTCTGATTATGAAATCTTTAAGTTCGAGACGAAGGCCGGAACCTCGTCAAAGTCAATTTTAGGTTCGTCTGAAGAGAACAAGTGCCTGATGAGACAAAGTGTAGGCAGGAATGGCCATTGTGCGCGACAAAGCTACAACAACATTCAGAAATGTCGTGAAATCACATCGCAGGCTCTGTTTGCTCATACTTACTAACTAGTAATCAGAAAATGAATGTAAACCGCCAGTAGCGTATTCTTCTGGATGGGTGAATCATCCACTCAGCGGCGGATATACTACACTGAAGTCAGGAGACGCAATTATCAAAAATGCGAGTCCAGCATACACGGATTCATGTGGACGTGGCGTCATAGTAAACGGTGCAGTTGTAATAAACTTAAAGCTATTGCAATACTCGACGTTAAAATAAAACTTCAAGACAATATTCCTGATCAATGGCTTTTACCAATTGTAAAGTCCACCTCCGATGAATTAAGGAATGGGGCACTGCAAATTTGGAGGGGGGTGGTCTGTTTTAGTAGGGATTTTAACTTTCGCATTTATATTTTAAATTCAATATCAACTCCCCATAAGCATTCATTTTTCATTATTACTAATGTGTTATCTGTGTCACGTGACTTGCCACACCCATTTTTGACTATTCATTTCAATCCAAATTTACACCACTTTATAAATAACACTTGAAATTTAATTCACTTTTTGTCGATGACTATTGACACAAAGTTTATGGAATAAATAGGGGTTTTCTTAAATTATCTACGTTTTGTAAACTATAACGTTTCTTGTTAAGAGCGAGACTGGGACGAGAGAAAATATCTAATAATTACGAAGGAATGGATGATTTCACATATCCCCGATTAATTTAGCTTATTTGACTGTAAATGAAATATTATGGAAGGAAAAACGATTGTGGTCACATTCAGTAAACTGGTGTTATCTGCAAAGTCCGAATTTTGCATGATTATGGGCGTGGCTGGTCACGNCTGGGACGAGAGAAAATATCTAATAATTACGAAGGAATGGATGATTTCACATATCCCCGATTAATTTAGCTTATTTGACTGTAAATGAAATATTATGGAAGGAAAAACGATTGTGGTCACATTCAGTAAACTGGTGTTATCTGCAAAGTCCGAATTTTGCATGATTATGGGCGTGGCTGGTCACGTGATTTGAGAAAAAAAAAGAAGTGTTTAAGGTCCAAAGTGGCTCTGGTCTTAAACACAGCAGTCTAAGATTAACTTGAAGGAAGATACTGGAAAAAACAAGATCGAGTCATAAAACCCCACATGTAACGAGGATCCATGCCTTAAAAGGACTGTGACGTGACTGTCACAAGACTAATCTTTCCGAATTTAAACAAAAATGGAAAGTTGATGAAGATTCCATAAATATCCGATTGGACAGGTGGCCGGAAATCCTTGCCGTGGGAGTCCTAACACCGAAAGAACGGTGACCTGAACTTCAGCTAGCCCGCGAAAGCATCCGTTTCTTCTCGCTCTTCGCCGCTTGGGACGCTTCGCGAAACGTCCTCAGCGGCGAAGAGCAAGGAGAAACGGGTGCTTTCGCCGGCTAAACTTATTAATAAGCGAGAGCAGCGATAAAGGAGACCAGTCCGTTAATCGAGCGGCCTATAATTAGCGCGAGAGTGAATAAACACGGGGATAATGCGAAATGGTTTTGAAATACTCGTTTTAAGCTACTCTTCCTCAAATGTATCTTTGAATTCATGATAAATACAGCTCTACAAGGTTCGAACAGTGTGAATGGCAGAGAAAAATACTTCAAAACTGTTGATTTTGGTGTAGTGGTCGCATGGCCCAGTGGTCAGAGGCCGCACTTTTTGACTGGAGGAACTGTTGGGGTGCAGGTTCAAATCCTAGGGTGGCTACTTCCATTCCTTTTTTTTTCATCGTATTTTTACCCTTTGGCTTTCTCACTACTGACCATGTTAGCTTCGCGAGATTTTTGCGAAAACATATTTCTAGTTTAATTTGCTATTTGAATTGCTATTGACAATATATATTGCTAAAAGGTTTCATAAAAGTAAGCGTCACTACAGACTAAAGCAACGTTTTTGATGTCACAGTATTAAACTCAGCGACAGTTGAGTGGTATCATTTTCAGTAACTTTTAAACAAAGCAGTAACGAAGTCGACTGTAGAAGGAGCAGATGACTTGTCCAGGTGCCCCATTCAAACGTATGACTTAACATGTTTAATTAAACCATATGAAAAACGGACGCGAAAAACAGGAACACAGGTTTTTAATTACACAGGATGCAGTAATAAAATTCAACCCGTTTTGTAATTTGCAATAAAGTTGCCATCAACCTAAAGTTCTTTTATGTAGGCAAGAAAAAATTATACCGTCTTTGACTAAACAGCTTTTAATTCATATGTTTAAGCTTTGGTGTGAATGGGGCATAGGCCGATCAGCTGGGTGAAAACTTTCGAAAATAAAATCGATAAAACAGTTCAATTCAGCTTTATCCGCTAAGCAGTCTTTCCTTTAACTTTTTTATGAGAGAAAAAAAAAAAGAACACAAAGAAACCTTACTTTAAACAAGGGTCTTTTACAAATGCATAGGATAGCTGTATCGTTATAGAAAGTTGGCAGTTTATACAACTGACTTTATACCATTTGCGTCATTAACAAATATAGGCAAAAGTTAAATGTTTATTTAACAATTAGTTCATGCGTCAGCGTGAGTATATCAAGATATCAGGCAAACGGGAAATTTGGGGCGTGAGCGGTTGCTCTGGTCGAAGACGGAATGGTAAAGTTGTATCGTTATATCAAGTTAAGCACTAGTTAATACAGAACTGGCTTTACACCGTCTGCGGCAATAACAGAGACAAAAGTCCTCACTGAAAGTTAACTTAGGGAGAAAGTGAAAGTTAGCCCAGGGAAAAATAAAGCTTGAAATGTTCTTAGTAAATTAGCTACGAACAGGTGTACCACCATAACTGATGTTAATGGTCATGCAGATCATAACTGTTCGTGGCGCTTATTCATCAATTGGTCCGATGGTGTTTACGCAAATGCAAAAGTTTTGTTGAAGATATAGACAATGCGGCACCAGTGTGAAAGTTTCTAATGTCTCTTTCGGTTTATTCATATTTTATTGGGAAAGAATAGATCATTGATATTTTATGGGTGTAATCAATAAAACAATCATTCCACTCCCGCTTTCTGGATATGGAATTTTTTTTATGGCCAACGAGGCACGTTGCTTGATCCTCTTATAATAACCTCTTTATCTTTGTTGAAGTAGGCTAAAATATTTGCAACGAATACTAATCAAAGATCTCTTTCTTGCTGCAGGCTAAAACCATCTCTTTGATTCTTTCAGGTCCCAGTAGTTTTAATTTGATCCATCTGGAACTTTTTTAAAAAAACTGTATATAAATTGATAATATTCCTCAAAGGTTCCATTGAAAGTCGGCGCTATTATTAGACACTTAAGCAACGTTTTTGTCACAATATTAAATTCAGCGACAATTGAGTGGTATCTTTCTTTTCCAGGTACACCGACAGGACTGTAATAAATTTCAACGCGCATTGTAATTTCCGTTAAATTTGTCTTTAACAACCTAAGATTTGTATCAAGGAATAAAGTTTTAAACCCTGTCCAACTAATTAGCTTTTAAACATGTTTAAGCTTTGTTGTGAATAAGGCATGAAAAACGAAGATGAAATCGATGAAACAAAGCAACTAAATGGTCATGTATAGTCTGTTATTTTATGGTGTACACAAACTTGCAAGCCACATTATCGGCCTTCGAAGTTTAGCTTTACCCGCTAAGTTAGCTGTCTTCCCTTTAACTTGGTTTGAAAATTAGAATGTTGGCCGTTTGAGTTGCTCTGGCTCTTACAGACCTGGACCTTACTTTAAACAAGACAATTGGTGTCTTTTACAAATGCATAGGATAGGAGGTAATTAGCACGTTTCCAAACCGGAAGATGAAGTTTTATTGTTATAGAAAGTTAGCAGGTAATACAAATATAACTTTATACCATCTCGTCATTTACAAAACTAATTAGAGGAAAGACTTATAATAAATGTTTCTTTAACAATAAGTTCATGCGTCACCGTGTGTATGTTAAGATATAAAGCACTGGAAAGTTTTGGGCCTAAGAGCTGCTCGCTTCGCTCACGGATAAACGAAGTATTAAGTATCGTTAATTATAGCTAGTTAAGGCCCGGTTCAGACGCCGCTCCACTCATGTGCCGAACCTAACTGATGAATTAAGTACGGCAAAAGAGCGGCGTATGAATCAGTTTGGTACGGCAGTTTTAGTTTGGTGCGGCAAAAGCGCTAAGTTCAACAGAGTATGTCGAACTTTTGTCGAACTTAACTCAGGTTCGACACACGGTACGCCGTCTGAATCAGATGTCGCGCCAGTGTCGCCCTCTCCAAAGTCGAAGTTATTCAGTTAGGTTCCGCACATCAAAAGTACGGCGTCTGAACCAGGCCTAAGCACAAATTAATAACAGAACACCATCTGCGCTTTTATTAAATAGAGTTTAGAGAGAAAGTGAACGTAAGCTCAGGGACAAAAAATAATTTTTCAGATATTATTAGTAAATTAACTTTGAACAGATCAGTGTGCACCACCATAAATGTTGGTAGTCAGATAACACTTGTTCGTGACGCTTTTCTAGAATGAGTCTTTATCAATTGGTCCGTTAGCCTGGGACCAGGCTCCGCTCGCAGATATTTCTCTTTCGCCCTTTCCCCACTGCGGAGCCTGGTCCCTGGCTATTGGTCCGTTAGTGTTGAAGCAAATGAAAAAGTTTAATTGATAAAGACATGTGGCACTAGTGTGAAAGTCTCTAATATCTCTTTGGGTGTATTTTAACAATTTTTTTTTCCGGAAAGGATCGATCAATGATATTTTATGGCCGTTTTAAAACAATTATTCTACCCGCACTTGCTGGATATGAGATGATTATGGCCAACGCGGCACGTAGGCCCATATTCAGTGCGAGCACTTTTGGAATTAAAATAATTGTTGATTATCGTGGGTAACGTACAATTAAATGCAAAATCAAATGGATTTCTATTGAAAGCATCATGATTGTCACTTCCTTCTTCAATATTTGTACCTTCTTTATTTCAGCTACCATCTGAGTGAGTTTAAAGTTGCTAATGTCATGAGAATATTGCTGTTAAGTCTGTGCTTAAGTGATAAAAATAACCTGACATAGCCCCTTTAACACCAAAGAGGAGCAGGTGGGCCCTCTAATAGTGTACAGTGGAACCTCTATATAGCGAAGTCCTCGGTATAACGAACGACTTTCTTCACACCATGCATTAATAGCAAAATATACCCAAAAAATATCGATTTATTGAAACCTCGGTGTAGCCAACAAATTTTGCCAGTCTCTTGGCCCTTCTTTATTTTATCGAGGTTCCATTGTAGAACGGTCGTGACGCGATTTGTAGTTTGAAATGAATAAAACGAGACCGAGGATGATTAACATTGTATTGAAAACATTTTTTTATTGACTCACTACAGTTGGAAAAAAAAAGGTTTCAAATAATACTATTCTGGCTCTATGGTCTGCTTTTATAATTATCAACGCCTCAGTGGGAGGAGGCCTTCGGAGAGAAAAACACACTTCCTATTTTCGACTTAGCAGAAGCCATCGTGTGCTTTTGTATCCCTGTTGTCCTCTTAGTGATACTTTACTCCATCACCCTGATCAAGCTTAAGCAACAAGCTCATCCAGGTGAACAGTCAGCGAATATTGACGAACAGCGGACAAGAAAAAACAAAAAAGTGCACAAGATGGCCATAGCTATTAATTTATTGTTTTTCATTTGCCGGGCACCCCTTTTATGTGGCCAAGTAATATATTATTTTTCACAGGACCACCTGTCTTCCTGTATTGTTATGGTAACAATATTGTCACCTCCTTTATGGCTTACGTAAACTGTGCTATCAACCCGATTATGTGCCTTATGTTTAGCAGCAACCATCGCCACATTCTTAAGGGACTTGTGAGATGCTGCGATGCAGTTCAACAGTTAGAGTAACTCTTGAAAACTGAAAGCTATGTCTGAAGCAATGGAATCTGAGTACGGCCCTTGGCCGGTACTCAAGACCTCGGGCACAGTTTCTCCCAATACGGACCTCCCAGCCGGTGAATAACGTAGATCTATAATGACCTTATTATTGGCATACTGATTCTATGTCTACAAGACCAGTGAATGCCAAATTTATGCAACAAGTCAAAGATTTAGCAAACAAAATTCCATTTGTAGTTGATTTAACTTTGCTCTAGTAATCATGACTTGTGTGTGTATGTTTTATCCCGGCAAATTTGACCTCTTTGAACACGGTATTTTATTTTTTGTCTTCCACATTATTGGTGACATTCCATTGTTTGCTCAATAGTTTTGCTAAAGTTGTTGTTCCACCAACCTCTGAGATCCGACTGAATCGACAATTTATTAAACTAAACAGGAATTTAGGTATCTAACTGAAAAAGAGCGAAGCTGTGCTTTTGAGAACAGCTGAAATGGCTAATGGTGTCCCGTTACCCAAATTTTATGTAAATATTATTGCGGTAGGGTCGACGAGTTTTAAGAGTTCCAAAAGGAGTTGACTGCAAGGATGAATTCATCTGTGAATGACTGTATTAATTGAAATGAACTGGTAGCAGAAGCATAATGTAAGAGCTGGCACAAGGATGCGGTATAAACCTTTGGTGATCTGAAATAATGTAAACCGAACATAATTTAGTAAATAAATAAATGCGAATATATAGGAATTGTCTAACCATGAAACGCTAATTTGCAAAGGTCGACCCCGGGGGGAGGGGGGGGGGGGGGGTACTCCCATACATTACCTATACGGGGAGGGGCCTCCCACCGGGGGCGGGTTTTTGTCGCCCCCGTTTTGGAAGGGGTTGGCCCTCTCGGAGACTTTTTCTAAACCGGGGTTAATGATTTTGTCAGCCGGAAGACACACACGACACGCAATCTCCAAATCATCCTCCATACAGACACTATCACTGACTAAAAAAAGAAAAAAAAAAAAAAAAAGAGAGAAGACAACAGAATCGCACAACAAGGAAGCGCATATGCTTCGAGTTAGGTGGGGGGGGGGGGGGGGGGGGGGTGGTACTCCCATACATTACCTATACGGGGATGTGCCGCCCAACGGGGTCGTGATTTTGACGCCCCCGATTTGGAACGGGGTAGCCATTTCAGAGGCGTTTTCTAGAACGGGGTATAGTATTTCGAACGCACGAAAGCTCCAGTTTTGTAAGCAGCCATTTGAAATTACTCAAGGACAGATTGCTTTTCAAAATGCGGTTCAATGCGTTAACAAGCAAACTGTTGTATTCTTGTTGCACCCTAGAACGGAGTATAAAAAATTGGCCCATTTATAGAACGGGGTATCAGTTTTAGGACGAATTCTAGAACGGGGTATAAAAAATTGGCCCATTTCTAGAACGGGTCATCAACTTTAGGGGAATTTTTTTTTAGAACGGGGTGCCAATTTGGAGTCCCGGGCGGCACATACCCACCCAAAAAATACCCAAGTGCCCCCCGGGAGGTCGACCAACAGATAATGTCGTTCATGAATATAATTTTTTCTTCCTTTTTTTTTTTTAGAATTCATTTTTTTAAGATTGTTATTTGCATTTATTATATTGACAATATTCCTCAAAGGTTTCATCAAAAGTAGGCGTCATAAGACACCAAAGCAACGTTTATGTCTCAATATTAAACTCAGGGACAGTTGAGTGGTATAAATATCTTTTTCAGTAACTTTTATTTAAAACTAACACGCACACACAAAAACAAAATTGCCGCCGATAACGAGGTCCTCTGTAGAAGGAGTAGATGACTTGTCTAGGTGCCACATGGTGCCCTATTCAAACTAACTAAACATGTTTAATTAAACCATGTTTTAAAAAATGAAAACGGAGTCGATAAACAGGAACACACAGGTTTTTTTTACACAGGATGCGTTTACAAAATTCAACGCGTTCTTGTAATTTGCGATAAAGGTGTCATCAACATAAGGTGCTCTTATGGAGGAAAAAAATTATACCGTGTTTGACTAAAGAACTTTGAAAATAAAATCGATAAAACAAAGCAATTAATGGTCTATAAAGTTTAGCTTTATTTGGTAAGCTGTCTTTCCCTTAACATTTTTTTTTTTTTGAAAAAACAAAGGTTGGTTTTCAGTTGGGGTCTTAAAAAATGTATTTCTTTTTAATTTGGTGGACCTTGCTTTGAACAAGCGTCTTTTACAAATGCATAGGATAGGAGATAATTTTCGCGTTTTCAAACGGGAAGACGAAGTTGTATCGTTATAGAAAGTTGGCAGTCAATACAAATTTGACTTTATACCATTTGCGTCATCGACAAACAGAGGCGAAAGTTAATTTTTAACGCAATTAGTTCATGCGTCAGCGTGGGTATGTCAAGATATCAACAAACGGAAAGTTTGGGGCGTGAGAAATGCTCTAGTCGCAGATGGAAAGGTAAAGTTGTATCGTTATATTAAGTTAAACACTAGTTAATACAGAATTGACTTTACACGGTCTGCGCCAATAATAGAGGCAAAAGTCAGTGAAAGTTAGCTTAGGGAGAAAGTAGAAATTAGCTCAGGGAAAAATAATTTTTAGATATTTACGAACAGGTGTGCCACCATTAATGTCAATGGTAATGCAGGTCATAGCTATTCTTGGCGTTTTTAATTTCTAGAAATGAATATTCATCAATTGGTTCGTTGGCGTTGACGCAAATGCAAAAGTTTAATCGATATAGACATGCGGCGAGTGTGAGAGTCTCTGAAGTCTCTCTCCGATTGTTTTATTCATATTTATTATTCTTATTTTATGCGGTTAGAATCAATCATTGATATTGTAAGGCATTGGGTGTTTTTAATAAAACAATCATTCCACCCGCGCTTACGGGATATGAGATGTAATATGGCCAACGAGGTACGTAAGGTCTGCACGTATCCGGCCAACGCGCGCTCTCGTGGAATAACTGTCCATTATTGTGTGTTGAGTTCAATGCAACATCAAATGGATTTCTATCAATTGATAGCATCATTGTTGTCGCGGCTTCCGGCTTAGAGAGTTTAAGTGGGCTATGTCATGAGGATGTTGCTATCCTAGGTAAAAAAAAAAACCGTGATATTGCCCCTTTAAAACCAGTACTGAGATCGGCACGCTACAGGAGCCCTCTAACAGAATAATCGTAAGTGAAGTAGTTGAAAATGAATAAGGTGAGACCGAAGATGTTTATCATTGTATTGAAACCATTTTATTTTCTCATGACAATAAGAAACAAAAATATTTTACAATATTTCAGCACTATGTAGGGGGGGGAGGAGGCAGGGAGGGTCAAAGTTATTTAATGAGAACTTATTTAGCATTTTTAATATAGGACCATTAATTGACACTTTTAGATTGACAATTCAGTCGGAGAAACTATAATAATTTGTCTCAGTTTGCTGTCATTTTCTCACAAATTAAAATATAATGGCGCCTAAATGTTGTCAGTGGTAGAATTATATATAGAACAAAGAACAGAAGATGTTTTTGTAAGCAAGAGACTCAAGAGAACAGACCTGTCGAAGAATCAGTAAGCATGAACGCAACAGCAAATGGAAGCTGCTTCAGTTTGATACATCCAGAAGCACGAAAAATTGGGCAAACGGTTGCTCTCAGCCTGATACTTGTTGTTTCGTTGGTTGGAAATTCTCTCATCGTATTAATTGTTTACAAAACACCAACTTTGAGAAAACCCATAAATATGTTGATCGCAAATATGGCCATGTCCGACCTGTTCTATCCAATATTCTGGGTTCCTGTTCTTCTGGCAGAAGGGCACGCTGGCTCGTGGCTTGTTGGTGGTACCCTTGGTCAGGCCTTGTGCAAGCTACACTCTTTTCTTTCAGACGTTTCCTCGTTAGTATCGATTCAGAGCCTTGTTCTGATAACAGTGGATCGATTTGTAGCTGTTGTAGTCCCACTCCGTTCCCCTCTCATAAGTAGAAAGCTGTGTCTATTTTTCATTATCGCTTCGTGGATCGTCGCAATGGCCGTTCATTCGCCAAATCTTGTTGCTTTAAAACTTGTTAAATACCCAGAACGACTGAGGTGCGAACTTCTGTGGCAGGAAGCCTTCGAAGGAAACACATATCCAAATTACCTCCTAGCATGTGCTATCGTGTTTTTCTACATTCCGTTTGTCCTCTTGGTGATACTGTACTCCATCATCCTGATCAAGCTTAAAACGCAAGTCCATCCAGGTGAACAGTCAGCCAATGCCGAGGAACAGAGGACAAGAAGAAATAGAAACGTGCTCAAGATGGCCACTGCTATCATGGTAGTGTTTTTCATTTGCTGGATACCCTTAGTCAGTAACGCGATAATAGTCGAATTCAGTGCACCAGACAATCTTATTTTTTCTTCTTGTAGTTTTTATCGATACTTTAACGTCACCTACTTTATGGCTTACGCAAACTGTGCTATTAACCCGATTATCTGCCTCATTCTTAACAGTAACTACCGTCAAGCTCTTAAGAGACTTGTGAGTTGCTGTGCAGCCGATGCAGTGTAATATTAACGTTTGAAGACTAAAAGCCGGGTCTTAAGAGATTCATTAAAAAAAAAAAAAAAGAAGGCAGGTAACAACTAATCTGTTGTGTAAAATAAAAGCGAAATCACGAAAGAAATGCATGCGAATTATGTTTTCGGCTGCAACGTAATCTGGAGCACGCCCTAACCCTAACTCTAGGAATGGTGGAAAAAAATGTTGTATTGAACCCATTTGCAACGTATAATTTTGCCGAAAAACGCCGATCGAAGCCAGTAGAGCCGTTTTTTTATTCTGTTCACTGAAACAGCTTCTGGATGGTTTGCTGCAGAACCGGCAAGACATCCAAAGAAAGCGGTATGGTATTAGCAGATCGACATGGGAACTTTGAAACCTAAGTAAAGGAGCGCACGAACCAAGACGAGGGACTTAAGCAGAGGTGAAAGAAGAGGCCAGTTAGTCACGGTCGTCCTACTTCGTAAAGACAACTGATGTGTCTGAACCAAAGTGCCATGGAGTATACTCAGCTGAAGCGTTTAGAAAAAAAAATCAACAGTTGCCGGTGGAAGATAGTTGATAACAACGAAGAAAGTCTTTCAACACAGAGAGGCATACTAAAGCGTTCAGCCTACCCTTAGTTGTCATCACCAGAATCACCCCGGGCACCTGCTCAGTCAAGTGCACCGGTGCCATGTTACAAACATGGCGTGAACAAATATTTTTCTTTCTTTTTGCGAATAATAATTAGGGGATGTTGGAAAAATGGACTGCGTGACTGTCACGCTGTGAAAGTAAACTTTGTTCCTTCTGATCTAGTTGCTTAGTGACAAGTTGTAATGACGTGATGTAAGTACAGGATTTCGAAACCATGTGCGAGTCTATGAGGGATCTAGCGATTGTAATCATCTTTGTAGCGTGGACATTAAATTGTGAAGTGATTCGAGTCTGTAGGTCGTTTTAACGTGAATATTATCTGGAAAATCTCTTGTGTTAGAAGCAATCGGAAGATTCCTGACAGGGCAAATTCAAGGGAGAAAATTGTGGTATACCCTGACGCCGAGTAAGAAATTCAGTAGATTTTTCGCTGTTTGTGTGAGGAACAATTTAAAGAGTTTTTCCTGTGTTTCAGCTGTAGCCTTTTCTACGGAATGCTTCATTTCCCTCGTTTATATGTTGCCTATAGTCACCGACGAAGTCCGCCATGTTTTAATTTGTTATTGTGTAAAACTTGCTGACATTAAGAAGTGACGTCAGTATTCCGTTTTATTCCAAATATTCTGCTCCCCTGATCTGTATTTGGAATATGTTCCACCTAGTTTAGAACTGAAATAACGGGTCAATCGAAAGGATATTCCGGATCTTTCAATTATTTTCATATTGAGCTCAAACCAAGTTAGAATCGCATTGTGTTTCGGTTAGTTCTTAGAGCATTGGAGACGTGTGAAACGAGCTTTGTTGAAAGAGACGTGCCAGGGGCGTAGCCAGGATTTTTCAAAGGGGGTATCACAACAGGGACACCATCCGGGGATCGCCGACTATATATGGTTTATACCGCTGCTCTCCTTCGTGTATCAGCGGGCTCAGTCGTATTATCGCGGCATGAAGGCCCATATTAACTAACGACAAGAGCCGCTGACGAAAATACTTTACAAAAAAACACATTTTAAAAGAGTGGTGTTTTCAACAATGGCTTTTACGGCCAAGATATTGTCATGGCGTTTTCGCCACCTGAATATTGTAGGTTGTTTGATCAAAAGAAGGCCTACCAAGGGGGGTCAAGGGCACCCCAGGACCCCCCCCCCCAGTTAACCCCAGGACCCCCCCCCCCCAGTTACGCCCCTGCGTGCCACCACAAATATTAATAGTCGGATAATAATTATCCGCTTTTGTATAAATGGTATGAAAACTAGCTAGAGAGACGTGTATCTCGTTGTTTAACATTCTGACTTCAGCTCTCTTAGCGTTAGGCATTAAGCCATAATGACCTTACATCTTCTATTGCATACTGATTCTGAGATGTGAAAGACGAATAAATTTCAAATTTATATAAAACGTCAAAGGTTTAGTGAACAAGATTCCATTTGTTTAGTCACTGGCATGAGCTTCGCTCTAGTATTTATGACCTGTGTGTGTACGTTATATCGCGGCAAATATGACCTCTTTGTCACGGTATTTTATTAATTTGTCGTCTCCATTATTGCAAAAAGTCCAGTGAGGGCTCAATAATTTTGCCAAAGTTGTTTTTCCACTACCGCAGATCAGTTTAGTTTTTTTTTTCTTTTTTCTTTTTTTTTTTTAACTAAAAACACATTTAGTTGTTAAATTGAAAAGAAAGAACCTGCATATTGAGGACAGCTGGCTTATGGTGTCTCGTTTCCCAAATTTCATGTGAAATATAGGGTCGACAAGTCTTAGAGCTCCTAGGGAATTAATTTCAAGGGCGAATTCTGTAGCTGTTGACTACATTTATTGAAATGGAAAAATAGCAGAAAACATAATGTAAGCCAAATCAATGCAGTATAAACAGTGTATACCTTCCTTTCTGTGATCTTGGATAATGTAAACCGAAAAGAATGAAATGCAAATATAAGAAAAGGAAAGTGTTCAAGAACAGGGCGAGAGAGCCCCTGGTGTTGAGAACGTTTGAACATTCGTGACTGTTACATGAAGTCATGTTTATCAAGTTTCGTTTTGAGTAGTAGTTTTACGACCTCGTGGTTCGAAAAAGAAAAGACTGATCGAGTTCGCAGAAAACCTTTGTTTGTTCGGTTTCGTTATTACCTTGAGGACTAAGGATTGTGGACATTAAACTAAGTGAGATTTTCGGAACTATTTGGTGTGTGCTCGTGTTTTCCACACTGGGATGCTACTCTAAAAGAACCAGTTCCACGACTTATTCGAACGCTTGTCTGTGATGGGGCAAAAAAAATATTTTTTGTGCCCAATCAGAATCAGCATGTATTGTGCTGCCTTCGCGACTTTCTTATACGAAAGGGTTGACTTGCAAACTCGACTGTTTCCTCTCCGCCCCTGAAAAAATCAGTCGGGCTCGTGCAGGAGAGTTTCTTCGACAAGAGGTTTCAGTGAATTCAAAAATGAGCCCCTAAAGTCTACTCTACCAGTTTCATTCGATCCTCTTGTATCACTGAGGAGAAACATTTAACAAAAAATTACAAACTTTAAAGGTCGAAAAAATGTCTCCTGCACGTGCCTGCATGAGTATGCCGAGCAGACGTAAACAACCACGCAGACGATTTCGCATGAACCAGCCTAGAAGTAGTACTCTGGTATTTACGAATTTACCTTCGAGCAGTCCACAGGCTGATTTCTTCAATTGTTGCATTTTTCGTTTTATTTTGGTTTGGTAACATGCTAAATTATTTGGTAAGATTTCCGTATAACCCCATACACTTATTATGCATGCATGTTTCCACTCTATTCATTTTCATAATTATCAAGTAGTATGAAATTGCTACCTGCATGATAAATGTTTGAGTTTACACGGAAATTTTACCAATTATGGCTTTTCAGTGGGCCCTATTTTTACTGAAAAAAATTCTCCAAGAAAGCTCTCCTGCAGGAGCCAAACATGCACGGCCAACAGTCGAATTTGCAGGTGAACATTACAAGCCTCAGCGTTCCGGAAGTTAAAAAATGCGGCACGCCTGGTTGTTTTGAAGTGAAGTAATCATCCAGTTGAGTATCTGTCATCGTAACACTTTTGCGGTCAACTACCGCAGAGCTCGTAAAGTACTTTAGGGACAGACCACTAGAAAAGTTATGGGGGGGGGGGGGGGGTACTTCAGGGGGGGTGTACTTCGCCCGTCCCCTCCATAAGTTTTCTAATGGTCCGTCCCTTAATTAAAATCGTGTTCAAACCACTGTGGAGGAAGTCTGTTTATAATTGTGTCGATAAATGCACTTCTGACTTTCACGAGGAACAATTTTGAACGAATTATCAAAAATTTTGTTAAGCGGGAAGTCTACCTACCGTTCCCGGGAAAAGGAACTTTTGTAGTGGCGCAACACAAATGTTTCGAGACTCGAGGATGTGCTTACAAACCATTCTCTATATCAATGCGACTAAAGGAGGGTATAGGGTATATAACACGTTTAGCATTTTGACCCGTAGCCGAAAAAAAAATTAGGCAGTTGCCCTATATCCTTTCTGGTTCATCTAGGTAGAAGTCCTGGCATATAATTATGCCTGAGCGCTTCTAAGATATAAAACATGTTTAGCATTTCGACGCGTAGAAAAAAAAGATTGAACGTTTAGCACTTCGACCTGTAGAACAAAAATCAGCCAGTTGTTCTACATCCTTTCTGGTTCATTCAGGTAGAAGTCCTTGCATGATATTATTATGCCTGATTGCTTCTAGCATATATAACACGTTTAATTAGCATTTGGACGCGTAGAAAGTCAGTTGTTCTATATCCATTCTGGTTCATCCAGGCAGAAGTCCTGGCATATAATTATTCATGAGCGCTTCTAGGATATATAAAACGTTTAGCATTTCGACCCGTGAAAAAATTAAGTAGTTTTTCTATATCCTTTCTGGTTCGTCCAAGTAGAAGTCGTGACATGATATTCATGCCTCAGAGCGTTTATGAAGTACAACGCGTTTAGCATTTCGACCCGTAGAAAAAAAAATAGGCAGTTGTTCTATATCCTTTCTGGTTCATCCAGGTAGATTTCCTGGCATGATATTAATATGCCTAAGTGCTTCTTGGATATATAACACGTTAAGCATTTCTTATCACAATTTCATCTCCGTCGATAAAACAACAGGTCATAGTCAATTAAGAGGCCGCTTTGAATCGATACGATCTCATTTGCATTTCTCCAAATTTTAGAGGGGCTGAATATTAGCTTGAAGAGTGCTTTAAACTGTAGTACATGTTTAATCAACATAAACGAGAACTGATCTAAAACCTGAAGGAGAAGTTTGTATTTCTAAATTTTTTCACATCTAATTTTTTTCATCGTAGTCGTGCAGTGACGGCAAAGAAAAGTACAAGTGTGA